ATGCTACAGTGAACGTGTGCTGTAACCAAAGCTAAATATGTTCCAACGAAATATTAGAATGTGTGATCTATTTTTTTCATGGCAACTTTTTGTTGACCAGGTATGCAAAAAAATGCAAGAAAACAACTTTATATTCAGGAAAGTTGGCATAATATAGCCTACCTAACTTTACTTATGTTGTCACATAACTGGCATCATTGTTGAACCTGGCGAAGTGAAACAGGAAATGACATCAAAGTGGAGCTTTGAGAACTCTTCCTGGTGTTTGTTTATTGGTCAYTTTCTGTTTCTGCACATGMAAATATCTCAACTGTTCATCTCAGCTGTGYGAAAAACGTTTTTGCAATTYRCGATTAATATTATTTTTCAAAGATACATTTCTTCTTACAAATACCAAATGCAATACAAATGCCACAGGCACGTCTAATGCAAACTTTATCATTAAGCTGAAACTTTTAGGTTTACATGAACTTAACATTTTAATTGAATATTTAACTGACAAAATGTAAGGGCGGTGAGCTAAATAATAACACAATGTTAGTACGTTTCAACTGGGATTTTACACTCRGAAAGTCAGMTAAACAATAAAAAATATGTCAGTGACATGTTKTAACATTTTATTTTACACTTGGCTTCCTTCATAAGTTTGCGTCAGGATGAAAGCGCAGGGACGCGTCATTAGATGGCGCTCTCTGGTTCTAAAGAGGAAAGTGTCAGCAGCTCCGAGGATCAGTGAACTCAGCAGGCTGAGCTGATTGCGCTCCTTTTCCAGGACGTTTTGCAGCCTTATTAAAGAGCTTTGTTCCCCACTTTATTACAGGACAAGAGGCAGAATAAAATCCAGCATATATCAGTGGGGATTCATCCACCTGCTGTCTGCCGGAGCCACCGGCAGGAGTTTGTCCCCTGCAGCAGCGGCAGCAGCATCGAGCGGCAGAAGTTGCGCGTTTTTTTCCCAACCACATCTCTTCTTTCCACCTTCATGCTCTCCACGCGAGCTGACGCGCAGAGGAGCGAGATGCTCGTCGGATCTGAGGCTCTGTTTGCGCCTGGAAAATGACTGCAGCCGCGGGTGAGCTTTCCACCATGGTGAGGAGATGCCCTGTCACTTTCAAACCGTTCAGGTGAGAGCGCTCAAACACTCAGATAAATTCAATCAAACTTTCTTCCTCACCTTTGCATTTGCTCAGTCTCTTTGAAAAACAGGAGGAAAACGGCTTTGACATCATGCATTAATTATCCATTAATTAACTTGTGTGGGGATTTCTTAGGATGATCATGCCARTGGGGTTGGGTTTGGTGCAGCCAGAGCACACACACACAAAATAATAATAATAAAATAAAATAAAAATAAAACATGCGACCATATCATTACAGTGCATTTAAAAGCACATACACACAGTGTAGAACACATTCTGCAAGTTCAGTCCATTTGGAATTAATTGGCACAATAGGGGGCAAAGCTGAGCCACAATTAAGGTTTGCTTACTCAGCTCCAGTGGCCTCAGCAGCTCAAACACAGAGAGCCAAGTAAACAGACACGTCATTAAAAGTGCTCAAGAAAATGAGCCGAACTTATTTTTCTACGTGCAGCTTTGCATATTCTCGCCACTAATCACCAAGCCAGGTTAAAATCCACGAAATTTCAAGCTTCCTGTGACAGTGTGACTTTACGGTTACTACTCAAATATAAACAGTTTAAGCAACAGGATCATTTGAAGTGAGATTCTTTGTAAGGTAATGAACAATAAGTATCTTACTTGTTGAAGATACTGTAGCTTTTTGAATTACTCATCATGAAGCATAGGAGGTCAGAGGTCAGCCGAGGATACACTCAGCTGATGTTGGACATGATGATGTTTTGAGAAAATCAGTGATTATTACTTTTTTAATTTCCTATATTTTGTGCCAGTTTTTGACCACAAAAGTAGATAAACTCAGTGTCACCAAACAGTGGATTTTAGCGGAGCTTATAGTGAAAATGTGAGCCAGTAAACAATCGAGTCAAAAATGCTGAGAAATTTGTCAACAGTGATATGTGTTTGTATAATTTGAAACATGCATTCTTAGGCACAGACAGTTTGTGAAAGAAGACCAGACCAGACCACTGACCTCTGCAGTCTTGGTGAAAACTTTAAGAGRGCATCCTGATCACAACATTCAAATACTGATACAAAGAAAACAAAAACTACAACTAATTAAAAATTASACTCCAAGAATACAATGTAGGCAAATGAGCCAGCAGCATCAGAACTTACAACATTTCTGATGTGTTTCATGTAAAAAAAACTGTATATTTAAGCTCTAATTACCCTTATATCTTTGCTACCATAACATACAGAAGCTAAGAAATAAACAAGATGACTTATATAGACTTTTTTCACATTGACCTCTGATCTGTGTGGAGTTGACCTGGTTGATGCAAACCTGTGAGGATTACGATGCATGTATTCTGACAGGACTGACGAGCGACCGGCTACTCAGAGTGAAGCCAAAACCCAAGTATAACCCACAACAAAAGTCACAGCWGTTCATGCAAATGCTATTTTGTTAAACGAACGTTCACAATGTATTGCTCACAGAAAGACTTCAGTTCTTGTTTTAGTTATTTACACCCGAGGAAGTTTTGAGCACAAATCTTCATCAAAGCCAAAGTGCACGGCATCGTCTTAAATCCTTTGAATCATGTGAYGCAGTCACCCAAATAGAATAAACAATGAGAAAATGGCTTTACTTACTACAGGCGACAATATACAAACTAGGCAATTTCTGAATAAGTATGCATAAAYGTGAAATTTTCTAACAAAACTTCAAAACTACCTCACTGTAGTRAAACAGTAAGTTGTCATGAAGAGAGATACCAGTATGCACACACAAAGGGTAAAAAAAAGAGTTGAGAGTATTTCTGTCAACTCACAGACAATAAAATGTCAACAGCATAAACACTCTGTTGTTCCAACTTTTTCCAATGAAGAGCTGTGCTCCAAATATCACCTGGTGTAAATAAATGAGTCAAAAGGGAAGTGCTGTGCTGAGCCCTCTTTCTGTTTTTTTCTTCAAGTGGTTTCCTGCATGGAGGCACAGTGGCTTAGTTGGTAGAGCTGTTGCCTGTCAGTAAGAAGGCTGCTGGATTGAATCTTGGCCATGGCATGCTCTTTCTGTATGTGTGGGTTTTCTCCGAGTGCTTCGGTTTCCTCCCATAGGCCAAAAACATGACTGTTAGGTTAAATGGTAACTCTAAATTGTCCCTAGGTGTGAGTGAGAGAGTGAATAGTTGTTTGTCTCTATATGTCCCTATAATGGACTTGCAACCTGTCCCACCCCTTGCATTGTTACTGCTGCATATGGGCACCGGTGACCCCCATCAGCCTTAAAGAAAGATGTGTATAAAGATAATGATCTATCTATCTATCTATCTATCTATCTATCTATCTATCTATCTATCTATCTATCTATCTATCTATCTATCTATCTCAGATTGTATGATAAAACTAAGAAATTATATCATTGAAAACATAAAGTAATGTTAACTTTGATGTCAGCAAAACATCTAAAAAAATCTGAACAGAGGCAACAAATGTAAGGTATAATTAAGARACAGCTGAAGGAGCATTGGTTCATCAGTCGGTGAAAAACTGAGGCTAAAAATAGTGGAACAAATTTTAAATTTTCGTTACAACTGTATGCCTTCATGGTAGTCCAGGTCCAAGTCAAAATCATTAATTGATTACTGTTTGGCACTTGACGATTAATACGATTAATGCCACCAAGCGGACTGACTGAACATTTCCCCAGTCAGTCCGCTCTGCGCTCCTCTCTGCTTCAAATATGACAAAAAAAAAGTTCTGTAATTTACCTATCAACACAATTTAAAATTTGATGTATWCTAGTCTGAAGTCTGTAATTTTGACACAGTTTGGAACAGATTTTTACGAAGAGCAAATCATTCCCAGTAAATTGGTCAGGGAGTCCAAGGCATTAATCAGGGGGGCTGTGGTGTAGTGGTAGAGCAGCTGACTTTGGGACCCGCAAGTCACAGGCTCGGCTGCCCGTCATGCCCACATGCTTTTGTGTCCTTGGGCAAAACACTTYACCTGCCTTGCCTACTGATGATGGTCAGAGGGTCCAGTGGCACCTATAAATGGCAGCCTCGCCTCTGTCAGTGTGCCCCAGGGCAGCTGTGGCTACAATGTAGTTTGCCATCGTCAGTGTGTGAATGTGAGTGTGAATGGGTGAATGTCTGYAAGTGTRAAGWGCTTTGAGTGTCCTGGATGGATAGAAAGGCACTATATAAGTACAGTCCATTTACCATTTACATTTAATCATCAAATTAATCGTTATYGGCTAAATACCACAATTAATTGGGATAATTTTTTTTGTCAATATTGCCCAACCCTGAGTCCAGGTGTCTGCAGTCAAGATGTCTTACCATTGACATTACTGGATGCATCATAACAAAACAAAACAAACACCCCACCCCCTAAAAAATAAATAAAATAAATAAAAATGAACTTGGTAATGATAACTCAGAACTGTTGCTGGAATCCTACTTCAGTCAAGAATGGACCAACACTGCCCTAAAAAATCCGCAGCATCACAGTGAGAAACATGTCCCTGTCTTTTTGAGACAAACTGCTGCCATTAAATTAAAAATCTAGATATATGTTTATTAGGGGTGCAACAATACGTGTACCCGTATCGAACCGTATCAAACAGTGCTGTATCGAACAATACASATTTWAAAAATTTACTTTATCAACTTGTCTTCTGCACGCAACCCTGAAAAGGAAGAAGCGTGTACAGAAAATGGATGGATGGAACTTGTCTTCTGAAGATGCTCTGTGTTAAAGGATCAGTGGATCTGTGTTCGACTACTCTACCTACGTTGCATTTTTGAGCGCAGATCCACTGAGAAACTTGCTGTTTCAGCAACATTTAATTTAAAAACTGTACTTTTCAGGTTAAACAAATGTTCATAATTAATATAAATAAATTACAAGTTAAAAGGGGCATGGACATTTCTCTTTTTTTGTATCGAAAAAATTACGAACCGTGAGACTAAAAGTATTGAACCGAACGAACCATGAATTTCCTGTATCATTGCACCCCTAATTTTTATGGTAAATGGACTGACYTTATGTAGCGCTTTTAAGTCCCTCCAGACCCCAAAGTGCTTCACACTACAGACATTCACATATTCACACACTGATGATGGTAAGCTACACTGTAGCCACAGCTGCCCTGGGGCACACTGACAGAGGTGAGGCTGCCATGCACCGGCACCACCGGACCCTCTGACCACCATCAGTAGGCAAGGTGGGTGAAGTGTCTTGCCCAAGCACACAACAACTGAGACGGCTGGACGGGGGATCGAACCAGTGACCTTCTGGTTCCAGGACAACTCCTCTATCTATTCCACCACAGCCGCCCATTTTTATAAATAATGTATCTTAGTTTGACCATATATGTTTACTATGTTCCAATGTGAATAAAATATGGATTTGATATGGGGAGTCAAGTGTGAAGTAAAATATTAAAAATGTTGTCACTAACACATTTTTATTATTTAAGAAAAAAAGTTAAATGTTAATGTAAAAATTTCCCACTAACATTTTATTATTTAACTCACTGTTCTCAAATTTTGATCATTCTTACTAATTGTTAAGTTTGAATGTTAAATGTTAGATACAGTATAAATGTCAAATCCTAGATGGAAATGTGTAAATATAAATGTTGCAGCTAAAAATAGCCTTTGCTGTTGGTGAGCGGCTTTTGTTGTGACATCATCATCCTGCGACAAAAGCTAACGCTAACACTTCTGATCGAGGTATTTAAATTTTAAATTCAAAATGTGCATATTGAAAACAATATGGATGGTACTTGTGGTCCACCAGTTGCTTTATTTTTTAAAAGTTTTCTTCAACATTTTTAGACTGACCCTGGATTTACACTACATGCATCTCCGCTCCGCTGCGCTGCAGTGCGCAGTTCGCAGCTGTTCGTTTGTGGCTGAATTTATACAGCCTCCGCTGCACTCAGCTCCGGTCCAACACACAGAGGAGAGAGGGTGTGCAGGAAGGAGATAGCATGATAAATTCAGTGATAAATGTGGAAGTCACAGCAAAACATAATTAATTCTGTGAAAGACGAACTCCAAACACAGATGAAAACATTGATATAAAGGCTTTTGATATGTTGAAACTGTATCGCTGTCGTCTTTTTGAAACTTCTGATTTCAAAATAAAATCCACGAGAATCGTGTGTGTGCACATATGCTTCATGCTACATGTTTTCATCTGCTTCCCAAACAGAACGATACATTCTGACAGCATTTGTGTAGAAATATATCCATATATTGATTAATAGGTGGTATTTCGACATTATTCAGACAATTGTATCCCGCCTAATACTGTCTTTTTTTTAAATATATGGATGTTGTGTTTGTTTCTCTTCCTGTTGGTGTGACGTAGTCTTTAAAAATTGACTTCGGCGCAGCTCTGGCATCCAGCAAAATTAGGATCTGTTCTAATTTTGCCGGATCGCTGTCCGCTCACCGCCGCTGTGCACAGCCAGTGTAAACACTCTCATTGATTAAAATGGGTGTGTATTTGCTGCGGAGGTCTGACCGGACCAGAGTGGAGCGGAGCCGGAATGCATGTAGTGTAAATTAGGGGTTAGGGTTGTACAACAACATAAGTGAGTTTTCATAACCTTTCTACTTCTGCAAACCTAAACTGTTCAAAGAGAAGAAGTTTTATGATCAGCAATGTGAGCACAAACAGCTCATGTTTTACCTTTATCACCGATAGAATATAATGCTATATTTCTCAGATTCTGGCTGAGTGACTGCTCCTTCTTTGGCTCAGCTTTCTGCCTTAAACAAACAAACAAACAAAAAAAAAAAGATAAAGGAATCAGGCCTGTAACCAAAGGGTAACTATCTACACTGCTGCTCTGCTCCATAAAAAATGGATTGTTTCCAAACATTTTCTCAGCATGACCGCCTGAGCGTTCAGATGAGTCAGTTTGAGGAAAATCCGTCCAAAGCACCGGAGGAATATTTGCAGTGGGTTCGTTTCTTTATCCAAAACATAACGGTTCGCCTGTGGTGGAATGCTTTTATTTTAGGTGTTCGCACACTGAGCACCGCATGATGCAGAAAAACTCTGTCCCTGTAATGGTTCATGTGGAACGAACGCTTGATTGGTAAAATATCAACTGGGATAAATTCATCCACGTTTCACCTCCTGATTTAGACATTGATANAAAAAAAGATAAAGGAATCAGGCCTGTAACCAAAGGGTAACTATCTACACTGCTGCTCTGCTCCATAAAAAATGGATTGTTTCCAAACATTTTCTCAGCATGACCGCCTGAGCGTTCAGATGAGTCAGTTTGAGGAAAATCCGTCCAAAGCACCGGAGGAATATTTGCAGTGGGTTCGTTTCTTTATCCAAAACATAACGGTTCGCCTGTGGTGGAATGCTTTTATTTTAGGTGTTCGCACACTGAGCACCGCATGATGCAGAAAAACTCTGTCCCTGTAATGGTTCATGTGGAACGAACGCTTGATTGGTAAAATATCAACTGAGATAAATTCATCCATGTTTCACCTCCTGATTTAGACATTGATACAATCTCTGTTGACTTTCGCCCGGGGGGGAGGGGGGGGGCAACTCAGGCAGTCAGTGGTACCAACCGCGTACAAAAAAACACGGGAAAGGTGGGGTATTTTATGTTCAGACACAGACCCGCGTGGGTCAGTGTTTAGGGGGGTTATTTCCACCATAACCGTGGAAAAGGGGTATCTTTTACACTTTTGCTTCTTTCCTGGCTGGACTTGACTGATCCACGGAGTAAATCCCCACTCCTCCCTCCCGTTAGTTTTAACCGGGGGCGTGGTGGCAATATGGACGTTTGGTAAGATTCCTGAACCACCGGTCAGTTCAATACCAAATGAAGCTGGACCCTTCTTCATAAAACAYTGCTGCCGCTCAGCTCCCGCGTGGCACCGCCCCCGCGGGCGCACCCGGTGAAACAGTTAAATATAGTTAAATACAAGGCGAGCAGCCCGTCACAACTTGAAGTTGAAAAAAATAAAAATAAATAAGACGAGGAGAGCGGGTAAAAAACATGTCGAAAAGAGAAGAAAAGAGGAAGAGTTGGATGGAGCAGAAAAGCTAACGGGCAGAAAAAGAAAGGGTTAGAAGAAGATGCAGCCAAATTAACAGACCTTTTCCGTGATGGCGGAGGGACCAAATCATGAGTACAGGTTAGCAAACACTACATGCTCCTACCATCCAGACTTGGTTTATGTGTTTCTGGATGTGTTCAGGGCTCACAGAATATTATCAGGAAAGTTTCACCATACCTGCATAAATCTTTATTCTGCTTTATCAACTACAATTAAAATAAACCCATGC